AATCCAATAAAAATTAAAAAAAAATCCGTATGTCTATATAAAACTATCTGTCTCCTAGGCTTTAAAAAATTTATTTATTTATGTCCTGCAAGAGCCACATGGACTATTGTTAATCTGTATAAACTCTGGGAAGGAAAATTAATTTCAGTAGTGGCAGTATTGGAATGACAGAGTGAAGGAAGGGCCAGGTATGCCAGGCACAGGCTCTTACCATCTCAGAGAGAGTCAAGGGCTTTATGAATCAGGAACCAGGTCTGTAAAATTTTTTAAGTTTCCAGGACATTTATAACATCCGCATTTGTTAATTTTATTATCCTATCTCTTTCCCCATAGGGCAGTAGTGAAACCCTTAAGATTAAAAAAAAAAATGTCTACATGGTCATACCAAGGGTAGCAGGGAAGGTGGAGCTAGAGAGATTGGGATGCTCCGGCCCCCTCACAGGCCCCCTCTTCACCTCGTTGACTGGACAACGCCTCCTTCAAGAGGCAGGAAAGCAGTCATGTCCCAGTGGTTTGTTATAAGGAGGAAATGGAACATCTAGAATAAGGTTCTGAGGAGGCATCTCAGGAAAGCCTTTGAATCTCAGCAGAGAAGAGCCACCTTTCCTCTCAGAGAAGAAATTTTGGGATCTTAACTCTGGTTTCGTTCATCTTTAAAAGGGAACCAATCAGTGTCCTTCTTATAAGGTTACTGTGATGATGTAAAATGCCGGGCATCGTTCCTAGAACATAGTAAATGCTCCAAATATTATCAGTATTGGCCCTAGAGTCAGCAGAGAGTCGCGTGGCCATAGTCTCAAGAAATTAAATCAGTCCAGAAGTCCAGGGAGAAGCAGAGGTGGCCTCCATGTCCCACCTGGTCAATCATCTCCTTACCTCTGTGTAACCTCAGATGTGGAAACTGCGGTTACAGAGGAGAGGATAACATGTCCAAAGTCATATAGCTAATGACTGAGGTTCAATCCTGGGTCCATTTACCTCCTAAGGCTACGTGCTTAATTCTTCTATACAGTTCTATCTCCTAATGTAAACATGATAAGAAGTGAAAGTTAAGTTCAAATTATTTTTGAAGCTGGAACTAAAAAAAATTATTCCAAAGTCAATTACCTGTATAATAGCTTTTCCTCTATTTTCACACTTAAGGGTTAAGAGGTTGTACGAGAGAGCATGAACATTTTTTCAATCTCTGGGTTAGCTACCACCCTTCCCCTTTCAGGTCTGATTTTCAATGAATAAAGAACAGGGACTCATCAAAAGTTGCTTAGCGATGAGTGTCCCTGAAAAGTGCTGCTTAGAACAGGAAATGCTTAAGCAATGAATGAAACAGTAACTTGTTGTGTCAATGTGTGTTCTTAAGGGAAATAGAAAGAAACATGTATTTCTGCCAGAAGTAGGGCCAGGAGGTTATTTTTCCAAATGCTTTAAGAGTTGTGGTTTCATGTAAGATTTACTTTCAAGCTGCCCACAAGTGCTGCAGTCCCAGCTTCCTGCTCTGGGTCTCCCTGAAAAGCCTGAAGGAACTCTGGCACTGAATATGCTCTTGTCCAGAGCCAAGGATTTAACACAATTCTCCCTCATTACTGAGAGACCTGAAACCTCAATTTGCAGGAAGGTGGGAAGGAAAGAAAAGAAGGTGAACAGACCACTGGGGCCCGGTAGAAGAGTGGGTTTCACTTCCTCTCCTGCTAGGCCTTTAGCTTAATTCTTTGTCCAGACAAGGACAACATACATGCCATTATCTGGTTGCTTTAAATTTCCTAAGAGTCTCTGCCAGTTGCTTTGGTTGATGTTTTGAAGCAGTAAAAAAAAAAAAGTGGGGGAGGAAGGTGACAAATTCCGCCCAGAATTTTTGCCCTTAACATTCTTCTCTAAATATTCAGGTTACGAAATAGAATATAACGATGATATCTTACATTTATAAAGAAGCAGGAGAGCAGAGTGGCTCTGGAATCAGAACTAGATTCCTAGCCAGCTCTTACCAACCAGCTTTGAAACCTTAAACAGGCCATTAATGTGAATATGTAGCTTTTTCACCTGTAAAATGGAGATACTATCAGCCTCATAAAGATTAAAAGAGATAATATATACAAAGTATTTAAAGAGTTATTTTTATTATTGTAACTGTAATGAAACTGTACTCTTACTCTGTTGTATTCTAATAAGGTTCTCCTTTTGAGATCACAGGGTAAGGTTACTTGCCTTATGGGTAGGGGTAGTGTAGGAGTAGTGTCTTCTTTGAAAGGCTGGACATTCTTTTTTTTTTTGCGGTACGCGGGCCTCTCACTGTTGCGGCCTCTCCCGTTGAGGAGCACAGGCTCCGGACGCGCAGGCTCAGCGGCCATGGCTCACGGGCCCAGCCGCTCCACGGCATGTGGGATCTTCCCGGACCGGGGCACGAACCCACGTCCCCTGCATCGGCAGGCGGACTCTCAACCACTGCACCATCAGGGAAGCCCCAAGGCCGGACATTCTTGATGTTAATCATCCAGGGAAGGGACGCAGCTTCCATTAGAAAACTGGAATTACACCAGAGAAGTAACAGCATGCCTCTCATTTTCCTGGGTCTAGAGCCCAAGGAAGCTAGATATGCTTAAGGCTGCTCATGCTTGGTAAGATTTAAAAATGGCAAGGTGGAAATCAGGAAGGGGCCACAAACTTAAGATGAAGCTCTATCATGTAAGTTAGATCACATCAGGCAGGCAGCAGATTCTAGTAGTAACCTGTGTAAGACCTGGAGTCAGACCACCTCCCGGTCGTGTAGCTGAAGCACTGGAAAAGGAAACTCTCCAAGTCGAAGCTGAATCTCAGAAAAGAAGTTGGGGTTTGACCTCTAAGTACTCCTTCCTACATGGAAGTGGGGATTCCTCGCAAGTTCTCTAAAATTTTCAAAGCTTTCAGTTACATCTATTCAGTCTCATGAAAACTCTAAGGCAAGGAGCTTAGACATTGCTATCTCCATTTTTCTAAGTTAACTAAGTTTTAAAGAGATTACACGCCTTGCCTAGGATCATGAGGTCAGTACAGGGCAATGGCTGAGGAAAATCCAGTTTAAAAAAAAATTATTCCTAGTCCAAGGAGATGCCAACAATCTCCATACTAGGACAGTAAACGTGCTGTGAAGATTTTTTACTGTCATTTTGCGTTAGTCACACCACTTACCCTTTCCACTTTACCCACACCTTAGGTAACTGAGTCAGCTGTATTCAGAAGAAACATTTCTGTGTCCCTCATGGGCACAGAACAGATGCCTGTGAGAAGAAATTTAACACTATAAATTCAATCATGCAAAAAGACATAACCTGTACACATCCCTCTGGTCCCACTGATGGGCAGAGTGGGCTTAAATTGTCACTTGGATAACCATTTTTTTTCACTTTGTGGAAAGTTTTCCAGAATCATTACAGACTTTTATGTATAATCAGCTAATTAGTCAATTGAAAAGTACATATTAAGCTCATAGTATGTGCCCCAAATTGGGATAGGTACTGTGGGTATACAAAAGGTGCATATATTAGGATCCAGTCTTCAAATCTAATGGGGGGGGAGGAGTTAATTAACATAAATTTTTTTTACTCATCCAAATTTAGAGTGTTGCCTTAAATATGCTAGAGATATTATATTAGAGTAGAGATAAACGTGGCTTGAAATAATCTAGACAATGAAAAGCTTTGTTTCTTAATAAGTCATTGAGAATACTAAATTCTGTCCTAATTTTAAAAATGCACATTATTTTAGACATAAACATTGAAAAGCTGTTCTAGGCACTGCGGATATATGGACAAATAAAGCACTTCCTGTCCTCAAGAGCTTACCGTTTGTTAGGGGGAAACAAGTCACTGAAAATCAACGTGATTTGGGTCTACACTATGGCTATAGTACCTCAGAATAACGGGTTGATAGGGAAAGCTTCAAGGAGTGCATGACCTTTAAGGAGGTCACTGACAACAGGGAGGGGACATATGTGTGTCTGTGGGAGGGTGAATGTTAGGGCAGAGAGAGAGGAGGGAAAGTCATTCCGTAAAAAGGAACTGAAAGCAGCATATGAAAAGGCACAGTAGCAGGCCTGAAGACTAATGCTGGGGTTTCCCACGTTTATTTCAAAGGCCTTCATCGTCTATATGGAAAGAGGGATCTTTTAAAAACCAATAGCTAGACAATGATGACTATGAAATTTAAATATACACGAGTGCTGATGACTACTTTCCCCTATTTTTCGGCATTAAGACCTTACTGTTCACGATTGTATTCATCTTATGTAAGTATATATCTTCTAATATGAGCCATTTTGTGGATTCAAATGTTTATAGTCAATTTCAGAGAGAATGCTGATCGCAGCACCATATATCTCCTACAGAAAAAATATTTTAATAAAGAATATTAGTCAGTTTTCTTTAGGGTTTACTGAGGGATTACAGAACCAGAATAATATGAACATAAAAACTCAGTAAAACCATTAAATGCCTTTTATTCTGAAGGCCTCTTAATATTTAGTTTATAATCGATTTTTACATAAAATCAAGTAATTTAAATTAGTACACACATGCATTTAAATAGCATCTAAAACTCGTTTGAAAATATATATTTGTTTGAACCATACCATTAGGCATATTACTCAATAATCATTTTTAAAAGAAAATATTCTAGTATAGTGAACTTTTCCTTAAAATGAGACGAAAACTTAACATCATGCCACGGCTTCGAAGTTTTAGAAAAGCGAGATTTAAAACTTTCCTTCCCAGTAATTTTAACTGGAGGTCTTGTCAAATTTCACAAGAAATTTCATGTACGTAACAGTGAGCATAAGATGGGCACGTTTCTGTTGCTATGAGAACCTTCTATTTTGTATCAGAAATCGCAGCCTTGACGACGCAGTGTTTGCGCCGATTTTACACATGTTTTTCTACAGCGATTCCGCTCCTCCAGTAATAACAGTTTAATGGCTCTGGTTTCCTCCCGCGCCGGCCGTTTTCCGTCCCAGCTCCAGCTCTCGCCCGCCGTGCAGTCCCCGTCTCTGGGAGCGAGCGGCGAGCACTGGACGGGAGAAAACGGGGGGCCAGAGGTGGGGCAGGTCCGGCCTCTCCGCGGGGTGTGGACGGGAAGAAGAGGAGGTGGGATTGCCGGTTGGTTCTGTCACCCCGGAGCCGAGTTCTGCACCCATCTCTCCAATTGCGTTTTAAAATATGCAGTAAAAAAAAATCGAGCAACGCCACATCCTACAAACTGGAGGGGAGGGGGAGAGCATTGTGTCCCCAAACGGATCATAAACAAGGGAAAGGAGGGGTTCGGAACTTTATTATTAAATACTTCACGCCAGAAAAACCAGGTCTCAGGCCTCGGTACTGAAGGGATAGGCTGAAGCCCCGGACGCGGCTCAGTGGTCGCGGGCGGCGGGTCCGGGCTTCCGGTCTCCCGGGCGCCAGAGGGTCATGGCGGGAAGGGGGAGGGCGCGCGCTCCAAGCTTTCCCTCCCCCACCCACACCCAGGGTCTTCTTCCTTCGGGATTCGGAGCCGCCTATCCTCCAGGGCCGACTAGCCGCAGGGCTGCAGGGGTCCAGGACGCCGCGACATAGCTTAGCGACAGCGCTCTCCCCGGCGACGGCGCCGCAACAAGATGGCGGACGACAGAGACAGGGAAGGCGCAGGTAAGAGACGCCGCAGGAGCGCAGCCCTAGCCGCCCGCCGCGATCCCAGGCCGCACGGGGGAGCTCCGGGCAGGGTGGGTCACCCTACCTCTGGACCCCACCCGCAGGGAGAGGGCTGACCGAGCCAGGTCCCGCCGCCCGCCCTGCCGGGGAGGCCCCCTCCCCTGTTCCTGACGCCTCGCCTTGCCCCGCCCCTCCGCTCCCGCCCGGCAGTCATTCCGCCCCTCCCGCCCCTCCCGCTTCTCGGTTCCCGCCCGGCCCTGGTTCCGACCCCCTTCCTCGTCCCTTTTTCCGAGCCCCGAGCCTCGCTTCCAGCGCGGGTTGTGGCCGAGGCGCTGGCAGGGGAGGGCCATAATGGCGTCCTTGTTCACGGTTTCGGGGACGCCGCCTCCAATCCCTCGACCGGGCTCTGGTTGCCGGAGGCGCCACGCCGGCAGCTTCTCGGGCTGTGGGCCCCGGGGCGGGCCTGCGTGAGGACCGATCCGGCCTTTAGAGTCTGGCGGGCTCCTCCCCTGCCGCGCCGAAACCCCGCCCGGGCCAGCGGGCTGGCGTTCGCGGCCACCATTTTGCCTCCTTAATGGAGACGTAGGAGGACTACCTCGAGGGCAGTACCGCTCTCTCCGAGCCTCCAGGTTCCGAAGTGCCTGCTCGGTGGCCGGCGCTATGCTACCCGCCTGGTGTATTGTCTTAAACGAAAAAACAAAAAACAACTTTAATAAAATCGAAAAAGCAAACTCCAGAGGGAACTCGTAGAGCCCTGTGCGCCGGCCTGGCCTCTGCTGCGGTACCAGCCGGGCCAGCGCGCGCGGTCGCGGCGTCGGAGGCAGTCCTGGGCCTCGGGGCTCCGGGTCGCCATATCGGGGGGATTGATGTGCTTAATGTGTGGGGAGGCGAAAACCCGGTTATCCATGTTTACTTGCAAGACCGTTACGTTGTTTTAATTCGGCGGTTTGCTTAAAAACTTGATCCTTGGTTACTATCCTACGTTAGTTACTCAAAAATAATTGTTTATTTTGGTAATTGGCAAACTCATCGCAAAAACATCAAAAAGGCCATGAAACTGTAGAGGTAAACATCTTAGAAATGAAAGTAATACTCCACCTTTGCTCTTTTCTTGAGTGCTTGAAACATCAACATACCATTTTTCTCAGCATGGAACAAAGATGTAATCAGGTTAACAGTATTTACAAGTGTAGAAGCCAGCCCTAGATACTTAGTCACTTGTCACGGTGATCACAGAAAATCAGCGGAGAAACTGCAAAAGAGCTACCTACTGATAGCAATAATATTTGATTTTTTTTATGGTGCCGTTAATCTAAAAGTCAGACTTATTTTTTAAATGTTACCTTTCCTAAGATGTCATTATAATTTTATCGTGCTGCTTTAAAAGTATAAGGTACATCCTAAGAAAATGATTACTTTTTTTTGGTATTAGTTTTAAAACTTCCCCAGAAAACCAGATGACTTACTTTGATTTATTAAATTATTATTTACAAAAAAATGGAAGAATCATTAGAAGATAATTTTAACAAGTTAATCGTGGAGTTTAAAAAAAGATGATTAGGTCAGCCTGAGGAAAAAAAGCTTTGTATTATGAAGCAAATACAATTTTTTTTCTTCACTTGAAAAAAGTAGATTGAAAGCTGTTTTGATTTCTCAGTTTTCAAAAATACGTTTCTATTTAAAATAAGCTAATTCAAAGAAGAAACAATTCTGTCTATAGCCATAGAAGAAGCAATGACTGTTAAAAGCTGGATGTCATTCATTCAGTTGGCATGTGTTTAATGCCTACCATATGGAAGGCATTCTGATTAGGTTAGAACTTCGGAGGATACAAATACTGAAAAAAATATTTTTTTCTCCCAAGGAAGGTGAGATCAGTAAGGGAGATAAGACATCCATAAATGGGAGGGAACAGTCAGCTGGACTGAGCAGTCTGTCCCCTCCTGCTGTGGGCAGCAGCCTGGTATCACTGGGAGCTTATCAGAAAGGAAGGAGCTCAGTCCCTGCCCCTGACCTACTGAATCAGAGTCTGCATTTAAGCACCCCTGCAGGTCATCCGCATGCACATTAAAGTTTGAGAAGCACTGTTGTATATCTCATTTACTCCTTATTTTTTGTTTGTTTTCTTTGAATTTTATTTTATTATACAGCAGGTTATTAGTTATCTATTTTATACATATTAGTATATATATGTGAATCCCAATCTCCCAATTCATCCCTCCCCCAACCCCCGCTTTTCCCCCTTGGTGTCCATATGTTTGTTCTTTACATCCATGTCTCTATTTCTGCCTTGCAGACCAGTTCATCTGTACCACTTTTCTAAATTCCACATACATTCATTAATATATGATACTTGTTTTTCTTTTTCTGACTTAACTCTGCATGACAGTCACTAGGTCCATCCACGTCTCTACAAATGACCCAATATCGTTCCTTTTTATGGCTGAGTAATATTCTGTTGTATACATGTACCACATCTTCTTTATCCATTCGTCTGTCGATGGGCATTTAGGTTGCTTCCATGACCTGGCTATTGTAAATAGTGCTGCAATGAACATTGGGGTTCATGTGTCTTTTTGAATTATGGTTTTCTCTGGGTATATGCCCAATCGTAGGATTGCTGGGTCATATGATAATTCTGTTTCTAGTTTTTTAAGGAGCCTCCATACTGTCCATGGTGGCTGTATCAATTTACATTCCCACCAACAGAGCAAGAGGGTTCCCTTTTCTCCACACCCTCTCCAGCATTTGTTGTTTGTAGATATTCTGATGATGCCCATTCTAACTGGTGTGAGATGATACCTCATTGTAGTTTTGACTTGCATTTATCTGATAATTAGTGATGTTGAGCAGCTGTTCATGTGCCTCTTGGCCATCTGTATGTGTGCTTTGGAGAAATGTCTATTTAGGTCTTCTGCACATTTATTTGAATGGGTTGTTGTTTTACTGTTGAGCTTCATGAGCTGTTTATATATTTTGGAGATTAATCCTTTGTCCGTTGATTCGTTTGCAAATATTTTCTCCCATTCTGAGGGTTGTCTTTTCGTCTTGTTTGTGGTTTCCTTTGCTGTGCAAAAGCCTGTAAATTTCATTAGGTTTCATTTGTTTAGTTTTGTCTTTATTTCCATTTCTCTAGGAGGTGGGTCAAAAACGATCTTGCTGTGATTTATGTCAAAGAGTGTTCTTCCTATGTTTTCCTCTAAGAGTTTTATAGTGTCCGGTCTTACATTTAGGTCTTTAATCCATTTTGAGTTTATTTATGTGTATGGTGTAGGAAGTGTTCTGATTTCATTCTTTTACATGTAGCTGTTCAGTTTTCCCAGCACCACTTATTGAAGAGACTGTCTTATCTCCATTGTATATCCTTGCCTCCTTTGTCATAGATTAGTTGACCATAGGTGCGTGGGTTCATCTCCAGGCTTTCTATCCTGTTTCATTGATCTATATTTCTGTTTTTGTGCCAGTACCATATTGTCTTGATTATTGTAGCTTTGTAGTATAGTCTGAAGTCTGGGAGCCTGATTCCTCCCACCCCGTTTTGTCCCCTCAAGACTGCTTTGGCTATTCAGAGGCTTTTGTGTCTCCATACAAATTTTAAGAATTTTTGTTCTGGTTCTATAAAAAATGCCATTGGTAATTTGATAGGGATTGCACTGAGTCTGTAGATTGCTTTGGGTAGTACAGTCATTTTCACAATGTTGATTCTTCCAATCCAAGAACATGGTATATCTCTCCATCTGTTTGTATCGTCTTTGATTTCTTTCATCAGTGTCTTACAGTTTTCCGCATACAGGTCTTTTGTCTCCTTAGGTAGGTTTATTCCTAGGTATTTTATTCTTTTCATTGCAGTGGTAAATGGGAGTGCTTCCTTAATTTCTCTTTCAGATTTTTTGTTCTTAGTGTATAGGAATGAAAGAGATTTCTGTGCAGTAATTTTGTATCCTGCAACTTTACCAAATTCGTTAATTAGCTCTAGAAGTTTTCTGGTGGCATTTTTAGGAATATCTATGTATAGTATCATGTCATCTGCAAACAGTGACAGTTTTACTTCTTTTCCAATTTGTATTCCTTTTATTTATTTATTTTTCTCTGATTGCCGTGGCTGGGACTTCCAAAACTATGTTGAATAATAGTGGTGAGAGTGGACATCCTTGTCTTGTTCATGATCTTAGAGGAAATGCTTTCAGTTTTTCACCACTGAGAATGATGTTTGCTGTGGGTTTTGTTGTATATGGCCTTTATTATGTTGAGGTAGGTTCCCTCTATGTCCACTTTCTGGAGTGTTTTTATCATAAATGGGTGTTGAATATTGTCAAAAGCTTTTTCTGCATCTATTGAGACGATCATATGGTTTTTAATTCTTCAATTTGTTAATATGGTGTTTCACGGAGATTGATTTGTGTATATTGAAGAATCCTTGCATCCCTGGGATAAATCCCACTTGATCATGGTATATGATCCTTTAAATGTGCTATTGGATTCTGTTTGCTAGTATTTTGTTGAGGATTTTTGCATCTATATTCATCAGTGATATTGGTCTGTAATTTTATTTTTTTGTAGTATCTTTGTCTGGTTTTGGTATCAGGGTGATGGTGGCCTCGTAGAGTGAGTTTGGGAGTGTTCCTTCCTCTGCAATATTTTGGAAGAGTTTGAGAAGGGTGGTGTTAGCTCTTCTCTAAATGTTTGATAGAACCTGTGAAGCCATCTGGTCCTGGACTTTTGTTTGTTGGAAGATCTTTAATCACAGTTTCAATTTTAGTGCTTGTGATTGGTCTGTTCATACTTTCTATTCCTTCCTGGTTCAGGCTTTGATGGTTATACCTTTCTAAGAATTTGTCCATTTCTTCCAGGTTTTCCATTTTATTGGCATAGAGTTGCTTGTAGTAGTTTCTTATGATGCTTTGTATTTCTGTGGTGTCCATTGTAACTTCTCCTTTTTCATTTCTAATTTCATTGATTTGAGTCCTGTCCCTCTTTTTCTTGATAAGTCTGGCTAA